TCTAAAGTTCAGTGGTCTTCTTTTTTTTTTTGAGACGGAGTCTCGCTCTGTCGCCCAGGCTGGAGAGCAGTGGCACAATCTTGGCTGACTGCAACCTCCGCCTCCTGGATTCAAGCCATTCTCCTGCCTCAGCCTCCCCAGTAGCTGGGACTACAGGCGCCCGCCACCACGACCAGCTGGTTTTCGTATTTTTAGTAGAGATGGGGTTTCATCATATTGGCCAGGCTGGTCTCAAACTCCTGACCTCGTGATCCACCCACCTCGGCCTCCCAAAGTGCTGGAATTATAGGCATGAGTCACCACACCCGGCCTAAGTTCAGTGTTCTTTTACATATATGAGCTCTTTATATAGCTGAGAATGTGTACTCTTTCAATAAACCGAAAAAATTAGTCCATAAAATGTTAGGAGTCTGGCCAGAAGGCCACAAGAAGCCACTGTTGGACAGTCCTGGCCACTGGCACAATCCACACCCAACTTTCAAACCCACCCAGCGGCTCTGGGCCCAGGGAGGAGCCTCCTAGACTGCAGAAAGCACCTCATCTGTGAGGACATATTTGGATAGGACAAGTCAGACATTTGGAATTTTTACTTAACATTTATTTCACAACTATCTCAAGTGCTAAGCAACTGAGAAGTAGTCATTTTAATGTACCCTTTCATCAATAAGCATTAAATAAGTCTGCTCAAAACACTCAAGCCCTACAAACTGTCCCTATGAAAAATGTGGCAAGAAAAAATAACAAAAACAAATGAGTAGCCTTTTCACATACAGAAAGGTGTTTAGCGATCCAAACTCAGAGAGAAAAACAGTCCTTTCGGCAGATGAACAAATAGTTTCCTCTGTGAGTGACACAGTCTGGGATATTTGAATTGCCAAACATAACTCATAATGACAACCACCAAGGAAGCAAAGCCTAATGGAAAAGCCCCAGGATGGCAACCAGGAGCCCCAGTTCTGGTCCCAGGACGGCCTCTGGCTGTGTGCTCCATCAACGTGCTGACCAAGCCTGGCCCACTTGCTTCATCACAGGAAGGAATATCTATTGCCACCCATACCACTCCGAAATGTTTTGAGGACCAAAGATGAGAGGTGGAAGTGCTTTGGAAAGTGCACCTTCTACAAATCCAAGTCAGCATTATTATTAGCTCAAAGATGACCCGGAAAAGAGGATTATAGAATATCACAGGTGAGAGGGAGCTTAGCGATGGAATGATTCAGTTCTTAATCTGGGTTCAGGCCTACGAAGCTGTCCCCCTTCGTGGGAAGGGGTCACAGTTGCTATCAGATTTGCAAAAGGTGAAGGTCCTCTAAGTTCTTCCATTTACAAATGTGAAAACTGAGACCCGGAGTTCTGTGTTGATTGTCCCAGACCTCAGGGTTAGTCAGGAAAAGGCTGGACAAGACCCCAAGGCTCCTAGTCTCCATCCATGCTCCTCCCCCTCTGTTATCCCATATTCTTGGGAGGAAAAATAATCATATAAATTTTATCTGGCCACAGAAAACATTCTATAAACCACCATACATGCACTTCCCAAAGGTACAGCAAAATCTCTAGCCTTACGTATCATTTTTAAGGCTTCTTGAGAGATCTTTGATAACTGAAACATCATTTTATTATTTCTTTTATTTTTCTTTTTTTTTTTTGAGACAGAGTCTTACTCTGCCTTCCAGGCTGGAGTGCAGTGGCGCAATCTCGGCTCACTGCAGCCTCTGCCTCCTGGGTTCTAGTGATTCTCCTGCCTCAGCCTCCTCAGTAGCTAGGATTATAGGCGCCTGTCACCGTGCCCGACTATTTTTGTATTTTTAGCAGAGACGGGGTTTCACCATATTGGCCAAGCTGGTCTGGAACTCCTGACCTCAAGTGATCCTCCCGCCTCAGCCTCCCACAGTACTGGGATTACAGGCGTGAGAACTGCGCCCAGCCCCATTTTATTATTTCTATATTCTCATCTCTGTCTAGTTCAGTGCCTGAAGTCAAGAAACATGCAAATGATTTTTTAAGGATTGAAAATACGCCGGGTGTGGTGGCTCACACCTGTAATCCTAGCACTCTGGAAACCCGAGATGGGAGGAGCACTTGAGGCCAGGGGTTTGAGACCAGCCTGGCAAAGATGGCAAAAATCCCATCTCTATTTAAAAATACATATATATATATATATATTTCTTTTTTTTTTTTCCCTAATTGAAAATTAAAAAGACCCGCCAGACGCGGTGGCTCACGCCTGTAATCCCAGCACTCTAGGAGGCCGAGGCGGGTGGATTACAAAGGTCAGGAGATCGAGACCATCTTGGCTAACACGGTGAAACCCCATCTCTACTAAAAATACAAGAAATTAGCCAGGCATGGTGGCGGGCGCCTGTAGTTCCAGCTACCTGGGAGGCTGAGGCAGGAGAATGGCGTGAACCCAGGAGGTGGAGCTTGCAGTGAGCCGAGATCAGGCCACTACACTCTAGCTTGGGTGACAAAGCAAGTCTCCATCTCAAAAATCAAAAAAAAAAAAAAGAAAAGAAAAGAAAAAAGACCTTATTCTAGGAAACAAGAAAGACTCTATGATGCTTTAAGTTTTATTAAGCAAACAGATGAACATGCAATTATGGGAATAAACATAATTCAATAGGTAACTTAAGGAAAGATGGTTTTTAATTGTTTGATGTGTGTTTTTCATCAAAATGTCAAAACTTGTGCTCTTTGGTGGCCACTATCCCTCAAGTAGTTACCCTTGGAACTGCAGAGATACCAAAAAATGATGCATTGTGCAGAATAATTTGAGAATTCTTTGAAGCCTGTCTCCAGTCCACAGACAGAGCATACTTATCTGAATACTAAAATTCTGCAGAAATTCCTACAAAACTAACCCAAGAACCACCACTGGGACGCATCTGGAGTCTATCTGGGGCAAGGATGAATGATACTTTCTGGAATGTGAGGGATCAGTGCCCTGGCCATAAGGAAAGACTCTACCTGTGGAATGCAAACTGACTTCGTAACTAAGGCATTGCTGCACTGCCCTCAGGTATGCAACTACCATTCCAAACAACCTAACTGGAAAAAAACTAAGCCAGCACTATCGCTCACATGAATGTGGTCATTAATCGCATAATCTGCAGGGTGGCCTCCACAAAGCTGCCATTATAATCTGATGGCAGATAAAGCAGGCCCGAGTCAGCTGGGCCTGATGAAGGTGGTCAGAGAGCATCTGGTAAATGCCACTGCAAACTCTAAACATAAGGTGCCATCACTATTATTAAAGAAACCTTTCGATCTGTTTGACATTCCACAACATCCGGAATCATCCACTGATAACCCCTTCAGAATCAGGAAGCCAGAGCATGGCGCCCTTAACACAGCACGGACTTTCAAGGTATAAAGAAACAAAAGGCAAGGACGTTTGCGCAAGGCCAAGGTGGGCAGATCACTTGAGGTCAGGAGTTCCAGATCAGCCTGGCCAACATGGTGAAACCCCATCTCTATTAAAAATACAAAAACTAGCCAGGCAAGGTGGCAGGCACCTGTAATCCCAGCTACTGAGGAGGCTGAGGCAGAGGAATCGTATGAACCCGGGAGGCGGAGACTCTGTCTCAAAAAATAGAAAAAAAAAAAAGCAAGGACAAATGCCCTTCTGCTCCCACTCCAGAAATGCCTGGCCATCAGAGATGTGGATGGGTACCCAGGATTAGGGAAAAGTCAATGTTATCTCCCTGTAGAATGCTATGTTGGAAACCCAGATTTTTTTTTTAATATATGCATACTTTTAGATTATTTATTTTTAGACAGAGTCTCTGTCACCCAGGCTAGAGTGCAGTGGCATGATCTCAGCTCACTGCAACTTCCATCTCCCGGGTTCAAGCAATTATCATGCCACAGCCTCCCAAGTAGCTGAGATTACACATGTGCACCACCACGCCAGATTAATTTTTTTTTTTTTTGAGACGGAGTTTTGCTCTTGTGGCCTAGGCTGGAGTGCAACAGCCCGATCTCGGCTCACCGCAACCTCTGCCTCCTGGTTTCAAGCAATTCTCCTTTCTCAGCCTCCTGAGTAGCTGGGATTACACATGTGAGCACCACCACGCCCGGCTAATTTTGTATTTTTAGTAGACATGGGGTTTCTCCATGTTGGTCAGGCTGGTCTCGAACTCCTGACCTCAGGTGATCCGCCCACCCCGGCCTCCCAAAGTGCTGGGATTACAGGCGTGAGGCACCACGCCCAACCTTAATTTTTGTATCTTTACTAGAGACAGGGTTTCACCAGGTTGGCCAGGCTGGTCTCTTAAGTTCTGACCTCAGGTGATCTGCCCGCCTTGGCCTTGCAAAGTGCTGGGATCCCAGGTGTGAGCCACCCCACCCAGCCTAGCTTATTTAAATATCACATCACAACTTCATATACATTTGAGATTAAAAGTAATAAAGTTCCAAGTCCCAAAGCAGCACGAGCTAAGGATACCATTTCCATTGAAACGAGTTGTTATTCTTCTCCCAAAAAGTGGATAGAGTGCAGACCTAATCACCCATCTACTTCTCTGTGTTATGTTACTTTCCCAAGTAATAAATATCATCAGCCTAATGGCCACTTTCTTTAAAGCTTTAAGACTATTGTCAAAAGAAAAACACACCACACACCACAGAAATGTTTTTGATGTAGTGGCTTCATATCTCAACTAGCATAACCTCACCAAGGAGGCTGCCAAACTCTAGAATCAAGTTTAGGTCCACACAAGTGAAAGTTTTCCAGGTGAATCAAGAGAGATCCAAGCTGCACTGGCACAGCTTCAATGTCTCTACGAGGAGGCTGCATGCAGGCTGGCTCATGAATCAAGCGGAATGACAACATCTTGGGCAAGAACAGGAGGGCTGGCATTCAACACTGCCCACCTGGTCAGCTCCCTTGCCCTGGGCTCCAACCTGGCAATCCCAGGAGGATTAAAGCAGAACTTCAGCACATGGGAATAACTGCAGAGGGAGGCACCGAAAAGGAGGGAAGGAAGAAGGTATGAGCTCACCGTCTGCAGCTGAGGTTCAAACTCTTTGAGCTGGTCTCTTGCTTTTCATCAAGACAGCAAGGCAGTATTTGGTGAACAGTGTACCAAGCAGCCCTGGAGACTCTGAGCAGCCTACTCCCTTAACCACAAAAACACGGGACAGGCAGGGGTAAAACGAGAAGACAGGATCCAGGAATGGTGCACGCACGCAGTCAAAGGCCACCTTCCCTCAGCCACCCAAGCTGAGAGTTGCATCCTCAGGTCCTGTTAAGCCTCAAAGCTGCAGCCGTGTGGGCCCCAAGGCAATAGCACATCTTGCTCCTCTGACCAACCAACTCCTTCTGAAAAGAAAATCGACTTTCTCTGATGGAGTCGAAACCCATTGAATCAATGAAATTCAACAGGAGCAGCAGTCACTACCTCTCCAATCGCGGACCTCTCAGGATGCCTGGTCAGGCTTAAAAGCCCTAGAGGAGTTAGGGAGTTCGGATTTCTGATTCAGTGAGTCTGGGGAAACTCCGACGAGGGTCACAAGGGCAAACCTCCCCAGCCTCTCCTGCTTGGCCCCAGCCCTAGGACGAGCTGCGGTAAGGGCTTTGCTCCCCCCGCCCTCCCCAGACACACACACACACACACACACACACAGAGCCGGGACAGGCAGGGTGGGAAGGAAGGAAATGGAGGCCGCTCATCAAAGCGCCCCAAATCAGCGCATCCGCGTGTGTCCTGCGTCGCCCCCAAGGCCACCCCAGGACCAAGCCCTGCCCTCTCACCGGAGCGTCCCAGCCACGCCTCCCCTCCAGCGCTGCTCCGGCAGCCTCGCCTAACCTCTGCACGCCTCGGATTCCCAGCTTCCTCCCAAATCGCGTCCCTCCAAAAGTCGCCCTAGCGCCTTCTGCAGCTGTCCACACCTCCCCCACTCCATTAGCAGCCCTTAACCCCCGACGGCCTGCTCCTGCACTTCTCTCTTTGGCAGGCCCCGGACCCCGGAAAACTACCCTGCTCCCACAGCGCCGCCCCCATGGGCCCCCGCCCCTTCCCGGAGCCGACCCCACTCGCCCTCGTCCTCCCCAAGATGTCTTCTCCGGGCGCCCCCGGGGCCCCGAGCACTCGCCCCCTCCCACGGAGACAGGAAGTTCCGCGCGGCCAGACCCGCTTCCCTCAGGGCGCGGAGCTCGGCGCGGCGGCCCTAAAAGGGCGCGGGCCCGGCCGCCGACCAGCGCCCCCGCGTCCCGCCCGCGGCGCCCCAACCGTCGCAGCGACCCCTCACCTCGGCGGCCACTCACCTCCCAATCCGCCGCACACTCCGCTCAGGCTGCGACGGCGTCTCCAGCCCCGGCTCCGTCCCGGCTCCCGCTCCCGCTGTTGCTCCGGCAGCGCTGCCCAGCCCTGCCCAGACCCCCCGCGACCGCTTCTGCCGCCAGCCGCGACCGCACCGCCCTCGCCTCTCCCTCTGGGCTCTGCCCATTGGCTGCCGGACACAGAGCCCCGCCCCACACCTTCCCCGGCGCCCCCGATTGGACCAACTGAGTAGAGCGGCGGCTCAACCCCTGTGAGCACGAGGGAACGCCCCAGGACGCGTATTGGTGACTTCTCCTGTCAATCAAAGGGGTGCCTATTTAATGGACTGCGAGGGTGGCGCAGGTTACTCTCCCAAAGCAGTTTGCCGGTGGTGGTCCCTGGGACTCGCTTCCCAGGGCCGGAGTTTTGCGGTTTCATCGGCACCCAGAGGTGGAGGGCGCGGCAGGGCAGCGCCGCACCTGACCGGAAGTTCAGGAAACGTAATCCTACAGTCTATCAGAAAGTTTCCTCTCCCAAGGGACTCAGAGAAGCTAATGTCATTAGGAGCTCCTCCGACTTGCACCATAAGCGTCATTCCACGTGGACCCGCTTAAAAGGTGGGGGGTGGGAGGGCGGATGTTGCTGCTCTCTCTAATAAAATACATTTGGATGACAAGGCACCAGGCAAAGTACACGCATTCTTTCCAATTCTCACAATCACCTTGCATGATAGGGTATTAGCCCCGTTCTGCAGAGGGAGATACTCCTGAAGGAAAATGGAGAGCACATCCTGAGCACTGTCCTAAGCGCTGTCCAAGCACTGCTTCGTGTCATCCAGGCGGAGAGGATGGTGAGAGGACCCCCAGGTGAGGGGTTAGCCAGGTAACTTGCTGAGGGTGATGTGGAGTAAAGAAAGTAAATGGCAGAGACAGGATTAGAAACCCAGGTCAGCCCAACCCTTGAGAATAATAATGATGACTGTGTAGCAATATGGGAAAATGCTTAAACTAAAATGTTAAAAGAAAAAGCCAGATACAGCCAGGCATGGTGATATGCACCTGGAATCCCAGCTACTTGGGACGCTGAGGCAGGAGGATCACTTCAGCCTAGGAGTTTGAGGCCAACCTGGGCCGCATAGCAAGACCCAGTTCTCTAAAAAGTGAAATAAAAGAAAATAATAGTAAAAGGAAAAGCTAGATACAAAATGGTAGAAACTGTAGAATTGCTGCTACATATAGATAGGGACGAGAAATGAGTCCACAAAAAAATCTAGTGATTGTTTACTTTCTAGATTGCTCTGTGGCATTGTCCTTATGACAATAATTAAGAAAGAAATAAAAGAACTGGCCGGGCGCGGTGGCTCACGCCTGGAATCCCAGCACTTTGGAAGGCCGAGGCGGGCGGATCACGAGGTCAGGAGTTTGACACCAGCCTGGCCAACATAGTGAAAGCCCATCTCTACCAAAAATACAAAAAATTACCTGGGCGTGGTGGCAGGCGCCTGTAATCCCAGCTACTCGGGAGGCTGAGGCAGGAGAATCACTTGAATCCGAGAGGTGGAGGTTGCAGTGAGCCAAGATCGCGCCACTGCACTCCAGCCCTGGCCACAATACGAGACTCCATCTCAAAAAAAAGAACCAACATGCAGTGCCAGGACAAGCCATTGCCAAGAAGTCTCTCCTCATTCTCCAGGACTGAGCCAACAGGGACCTCTTTGTCACCCACGATACCTCTGGACCATTTGTATAGAACTCAGCCATCAGCTCTCAGCATCTTCATATCTGGGTAAATTCAGCTTATATCGCAATTCCATGCCCTATGAAAATACAGAGCCTCGGCCGGGCGCGGTGGCTCACGCCTGTAATCCTAGCACTTTGGGAGGCCGAGGCAGGTGGATCACGAGGTCAAGAGATGGAGACCATACTGGCTAACACAGTGAAACCCCGTCTCTACTAAAAGTACAAAAAAATTAGCCGGGCGTGATGGCAGGCGCCTGTAGTCCCAGCTACTCGGGAGGCTGAGGCAGGAGAATGGCGGGAACCTGGGAGGCGGCGGAGCTTGCAGTGAGCGGAGATCGTGCCACTGCACTCCAGCCTGGGCGACAGAGCGAGACTCTGTCTCAGAAAAAAAAAAAGAAAAAGAAAAAGAAAATACAGAGCCTCTCCCCAGTTTTTGGGGGGTTTTTGTTTCGGTTTGAGACAGGCTGGAATGCAGTGGCACAATCCAGGCTCACTGCAGCCTTGACCTCCTAGACTAAAGCTATCCTCCTGCCTCCCTCCCAAGTAGTGGCAACCACTGGTGTGCACCACCATGCCCAGCTAATTATTTTTTTAATTTTTATAGAGACAGAATCTCGCCATGTTGCCTGGGCTGGTCTTGAACTCCTGGACTCAAGCAGTCCTCCTGCGTCATCCCCCCAAAGTGCTGGGATTACAGGCATGAGCTGCTGTATGCAGTCTCTCCCAAGGTTTCTGAACAAGTGTCTGTCATCAGGCCTCCTGCTTTTCCACACACTGCATGCTCACTGGCCTACTGGCCTCGCCATCATCCCCTTATCCAGTTGCACAAATCCCCCTGCACTCCAAGCACTGCTGAGTCTAGCAGGGGTTCCTGGAGACTGGAAGCTGGAGAGAGGCATCAAGCCTGACAATGCCCAGCAACAAGACAGGATGCCTCGTGAGCCTTTTTGGCCACCTGGCCCCAGGAGTCACCACCTGGTCACGTGAGCCATGCCACACTCTGGCCACTTCACACACCTTTGGTTTTCTTCATTCTCCCACTCTTCTTTTCTCTCCTCCTCCTTCTCAAGACAAACACAACATTCCTTTCCTTGTCTTGCACCCAGCAGCTTGACATCATTACCTGAACTCTTTGGGCCTTATACCTTCTGTCCTGGCAGCTTATCAGGGTATTTTTCCAAAGATAGCTCCCCGTTGCCAGATGTGAGCACCCCAACTTTGTTCCCCACAAACATTTCACAACATTCCATCCAGCCTCCTCCTTCAGTCATACTCGAACGGGCCTGGAGCCCCATCCTGGCTCCACCCCTTTTTAGCCAAGGGGCCTTGGGCCAGTGACTGCAGCTCTCTGCACCTCTGCATCCCCTCTGTGACGTGGGGATTAGGAAGAGTGACAGGGTTGTGGTAAAGAGTCAAAGCATGGAGAGCTGTTCCGGGCACACGACTGTGAATGCTGTGTCTGAACGGTGGACTTGTGGCCATGCCTTGTCAGCTGCTCCTTCCTTCCCTCAGAATGTGACCATTGCCACCGAGTGCCTGGGACTGAGACTGACTGGCTTTAGTTTAGTCCTTTATTAACCATTTCCCACTAAGCAGCCTGGATAAACAGTCTGGGCTAAAACATACTTGCACAGAGAATATAATAGTCTCAAAAAAGTTAAAACACCAGATATAGTTGTACTGCTGAAAATACAGAGACATGTGTATTTCAGTGTGATAAGTACAGTGACTTATGGATTGTACAGTGATATATGTGTTTTAAGAAAAAAAATCAAAATCTGTTACAGACATTCACTCACTCAATAATTCCAATATTTAGAACATGCCAGGCAGGGAAGGTGGCTTGGGGTGGACCTGGGTCCTGCTGATGTTCCCGGAAAGATTCGGCAAGGACATAGAGTTTAGAACAGAAGAGGGTGCAGTGGTATTGAAGACAGTACTGTTTACCTGAGCCAAGATCAGTGGAAGATTACAGAGAGCAAAGATCAGGAAGCAATAAATCCTCCTGTCCAGGAAGAGAGGAGGGTTCCACTTGGCTGGAGCATTGCAGGCACAAGGAGAAGCCAGGGAAACAAGGCAGTAAGACAGTCGAGCGACAAGGAGGTCTGCGGCCCTGGCAAGTGACTTCACTACTCCAGCCCTCGGTTTTCCCTACTGTAAAATGGGGATAATCACAAAACCTAGTGATTGTTAGCTTAGGGAATCTGCGAGGATTTGTGAGTTCACTCTGCAATATTCAGGATGGGGCCTGGCACAGATCATTGTTCAGCGTGTTCAAGCGCCCCTCATTTTGTGAAAGTGTTTCAGGGTATATTCATTCTTTTTTTTTTTAACTGTGTCTGAAAGAAAAGCCTGGGCATGGTGGGCTCACGCCTGAAATTCCAGTACTTTGGAAGGCCAACGCAGGAGTATCACTTGAGTTCAAGAGTGGAGACCAGCCCGGGCAACATCATGAGACCTCTGGTCTCAAAAAAAAAAATTAGGCCGGGCGCGGTGGCTCAAGCCTGTAATCCCAGCACTTTGGGAGGCCGAGACGGGTGGATCACGAGGTCAGGAGATC